GGTACGGGTCTTTTGGCGCAGCAAGAGCGATGGAAGCGATCGCGGCGAAGAGTACAAGGACCTTCATCTTAACGTTTGATGACAGATGATCCAGTTTCGATCAAGGGAGGTGTTGGAATTGAGTCTCACGATTTGTGGGGGTGAGTGAGTAAGTAAGTTGACAGCTTGTTGGGTAGTGATATCGCTTTGGCTATCACGAAACAACTGTTTATATAGACAGCAGCCTCGTATCTACGGCGCCACTGACATCGCTGTAGAGTGAGAAGCTCATCCACGTCTCCTGCAGCGCAATCCAGAATTAGCTGGAACTATCTGATCGACCGCGAACTGCTCAAGGTTCGCCCAATCCACGCATCTCTGCGTCCACCAACCATCACGTTAAGCTTTGCGTTTCGCAGCAGCGATATCGTAATGTTACGATCTGGGCCAATGTGAACGTCCAACCGTGGATGTTGCGATAGCGCTCATATGCCTAAATTGCGTCGCGGCGTTTAGCGAGGAATGCAATCTATCTTCCCCGGATTTTCGTATTGCCAGCACTTCTGATAAGTCGCCCACATGCGAGCTAGACATTTTACCATATGAAACGGACGTACTGTCCTTCGCGGCTCGGATGCCAGGCATATATGACGTCGCTGTAGCATCCAGTGCTGAATTCTGTCGCGTCGCGGTTTCATCGAGGCGAAGAACGTATGATCTCATAGAATACCAAGGCAGCATGGCAGTTAAGACGGCACTACTTCTGCCTTGGAAATCTACACCGGGTGCAAGTCCGAAGAAGTCAGTCGCACCAGCAAACTACATCACTATGCACGCTCCAGATCTCTTTGGCACAACACTTGTGGCCCACTTTGGCTAAGAACGCAGCCATGTTAGACCATGAGCGCTACGTCGCTCTTGCGGAAATTCCGCACGCTGCTGCGCATCATTGCAGACTTTGCCACGTGGGTATGGCAAAGTAATCGTCGTAGGTCCATCACGCGCACGTGATGCAACGTCTTGTCTTAACGGAAAAGCAAGTCTCCCCAGGGCAACGATGCTAGCAATTTCATCCAGAAGAGGACTCTGGACGAGTCACGTCTTGAACCACTACTCCTTGTTGTTTAATTTGCCGTGTCCAGTTGGCCGACAATAATGCGATGGCCTCCAACGCCGGTTCCAATGAGATTTGGCATGATCCCAGCCTTCGTGGCGTATTTGACGTCGCAGCGCGTGAGCAGGGTGCGCCACCAGTGGTCTAGGCTTTCTGTATAACCGTTTGAGGTGGCTCGAGGTGACGAGCTGCATCTCTCCTGTCGTTCCTAATCCTCTCGACTTCACTGCTAACAATTACCACCATGTCTTTTGCGGGCCTAGAGCCTCCATCATCAGCGGGGCAGCCTAACACTGCTACATCCATACCCACGTGTTTCTTCCAGAGCCTGGAGTCTCGATACATCAACGATTCCATGGAACAGAGCACGGTCTCAATAACCAGCGTTAGAAGACTTCCAAGATCGCTATGGGATGTGCCGCTGTCTTGTACAATAGTCGGCCGCAGTCGCACGAGGATAGTTCGCGTCTTCGACCTCGGCGCGCGATCCCAAGGGCTGATGCGCCCGCTGTCGGGCGCGCTAAGAAATGGCGCATTGCAAGGTTACGTCACGTACGCGCATTCCATCACCAAGTCAGCCTCACACACAGCCTCTACTCACAACACCGGGCGTAGCCGCATCATGGCCGCGATGCTGCGGCTTATAGCAGGGGAACAATCACCACCTTTGCCGGATGCGGACGCGCGATTTAGAATATTCCTGGTCGATCTGCTGGGACAGCGCATTGCATTGCACCCTCAACACCAAAATTTTCATCATCGCAGGCCCGTGTCCAGCGCCATGCTCAAAAGGAACTACACTACGACGCGCTCGGTAAGCTTCTAGAAGGCCAGTAATCGAATCATATAACAGTTCGCTTATCTTTTCCATGCACGGTCGGCGAGTGTTTCCTTCCATGGGGCTTCTAGAAGATAGTTTCTCGGCCTGTTTGTCGGAACGATTAGCTGGCTCGAGGCACCACAGCGGTCAACGGCGGCACTTAGACCTGATTGGTTCATATCGCCCCCTCAAGTGGGCAGGATCAACCGACCTGCAGCCGCATCTCCACCTTTTGTTTCCAGCATCAGCCGCATCCATTCCCCTACGACATCGTTCTGTATGGACTCTATATCTCTGTGTTTCGTTCAGTCATCGTTTTCTCCCGAAATACATTCCAGTCCACCTTCACACAAAGACGCCACCAGTCTGGTGCATGATCCCGATCCATCCGTGTCATGTTGAGATGACGATTTCCCGTGTCTCGCAAAGGCTGTCTATCTAAACGGGCTAGTACCTTGGCCCCAGAATGGCCATGGCCCCACGGAAAGGAACGCGACGAGCGTGTGACCCTTGTTCTGTCAGTGAGTGTTAGGTGCATGTCAACGCTCGTGACACGACTGACATTACGTTTCCTTCGTCCAGGGAAAGTGCGATGTGATGGCAACCAGCCATGTTCAAGATGCGAAGCCGCTAGCTGGGACTGCACCTACTTGAAAACGCATGGAAAAAGCGGACCAAAAGGACCACGACGGACCACGGAAGCCGCAATCAGGAGACTGCAGGAACGCAGCAAGGGCACCCATGATGAGGGGTCAAGAAGCAACAGCGAGACGAGCTTTGACGCTGGAAGCCCAGTATCTACCGAGCTAACCTACCTTGACCCCATCTCTTTGATGAGCGATGCCGATGGTGAACCCAAAGCCTGGCCGGATATCTTGAGTCCAACCCTCTCCGCCACCCCTCACGAGCCTCAGAGGATATCGATTGCTTGCCTATCGCAATATTTGGATATCTATTCTGCACGCGGATACGGTATATGGCCGGTGGTCGATGCAGAGGCTCTGACGGCACGTCTTTTGACTCATCCCGATGATTTGGAAGCTTATGCATTAGCCACTGCGATATCTGCTGCTATAGTGAGCCAGTTCTCTATGGACGAATCGGGTAGTCCACTGGAGGGCCACTACCACGTCCCGAGTGGCACATTTGAAATGGAAGCAAAAAAGGCAAGGAACGAATGCGATCATCTGGAGAACGTCACTGTGTTCTCTTTGCTGAGCAGCTTCTTCCTACATGTCTACTCGGCAAACGTTGGGAGGATGAATGCTTCCACAGTGTTGCTTGGAGAGGCCATCTTCAAAGCGCACATCATAGGATTGCACAAGGCGAACCACTACGAACACATGACCGCGGAGCAAACGCAATATGCGTTGAGAGTATACTGGCTCCTCTTCATCACAGAGCGAGCACATTCTCTGCAACACGACGTGCCGACAACACTCAAGCGCGCCCCCAATCTGCCTCGACTGGAGGACCTGCACGATGGGTCGGTCACACCTGCCTTTGTACAGCTGTGCCGACTGTTCAACATTTTGGATGTCACCATAACCGCCGAACCAGCAGCTGCGCGCCATGCCCTTGCATTAGCTCAGCAACAGCTTAGCAGTGATGAGGACCCCCGCAGCCTCGAAAACGAGCTCCAGCGCGCAGACATCACAATGACGCAGCAATGGATGCGCATCTTCTTGTGGCAGCATGCCCTCAATGTAACGAATCTGAGCAGTCGCGCCAGCCAGGATGAGGAGTTCTCATTTCGCTTTCCCGCCAAAGTCGCTCAAAACGTCCTCAGCAATCTGAGTAGCCTCTCCCGCCAGAGCATTGAGGCGCATGGGCCCGGCATGGTATGGACTATCTCGCTAGAAAAGTAGAATGTCACTAACGTGTATACAGGAGTCGAAACTTTTCGATGTTGCCAACTCGCTTGCAGATGTCATGATGATTATGCCTTCTCTCAACCACGAATCTCACTTCGACGTTGGACCTAGAGATCTGATCCACTCGCTAGCGCAAGTCCTGGCCTCCTTTCGTGGTGGCAATCCTGCTGTCATTAGCATACTGCAAGAGAAGCTCACTATGCTTGGACTTTCCGCTGGGTCGCCGCAAAAGTTGCTTGAGCTCTCCTCGCCGGAAGAGGAACACGACGAGTGGCACGACCGCTCCATGTCTGCTCCCTCTACCTACCCGTCCTTAAGTCCCGACGTTTCAATGTCGCCCTCACTTCAATCGAGCATGAGTATGGACGGGACCTATTGATCTTCCTGGACTGCCGCAGAAGAGCTTTTGCAGTATCATCCACATACGCACAAAATGTCCGATTGCACAACGTGTTCAATCATGGCCACACAGGCAGTCGTGCCCTATCGATTCGGTTACCTAGCGTCCGCAAGACAGGCGCTTGTCAGCAAGCGCCCAAACCCCTCAACAAGACGTGAGCTAGCCATGGCATGCTGCTCATTATCGAAGATACCAACATGATTGATGCACCAGGCTTTGGCCAAGGCCTGGTAAACGCTCCTCTGTTGCTGCAGGAAAACCACAAAAGTCCAGTGAGATCACTCATTAGTCTCACCTAAATGAGTGCCTACGAGCCCTGGATCGGCTGGCGCACCGTGGAGACAAGAGCAACGTCCTGTTAAGAGATTATAAGGATCGCGGTAATGCCACCTCCGAAAGCCGAGTCGCGCGGACATATGGAAGGAAAGCACGGCAGATGATACGCTTCAACAGGCGTCAAAGCAGAAATTCAACGCTGAAGTGACGTGAAGACACGCTCCGATCAGAGTCTAAAAAAAGATCAGCGGCAGCGCATACAAATACGATGAACGTTATCAAGGCCAATGTTTTCTTGATATCGTGTTGCTTGGGTTATTCCTGCTCTCTATCTATTTATGAAGACAGCAAGCATTAGCATTAGCATCACGCCGTAAGCATGCCTTCAACCAGTACAGTACGCAAGCATTGGTCTGGGGCAGAAAAGATTTCTCGACACTCGATTCGAAAGTGACACGAAGTCAAAACCGCAGCATGCTAGTTCCATTTTGCAGCCGATCTTCCAATTATGTACATCAGATTCGCCAGCTACCTCCCTCATTCCATAGAGATTGGAAGGCCTGGATGACCTGGAGCAGCTGGGCTCTCGTTCATTTGCCCGAGACCATAGTTGATCGCCGCGGCGATATCCTGGTTGTTCTTCTCCAGGAACATGAAGTGCCCATTGCCCTTGATACTAATATCGGCAAGTTTGATCCACTGGTAGTTGGTGAGGCCCATCTGCCTGAAGTACTCGACGAAGCAGTGGTCGTACGTGATGTGCGGACTGGCCTCGCCCGTGATCATGATGTAGGGAACTTTGCTAAGTTGGGTGAGCTTGTGGACGGTGCCAGTCTGCAGAATGCAGGAGCGCTTGGCAGGGTCATCTGGGCCGACCTCAGTTGTCGCAATGGTCGAGCAGTTCGTTACCGGCGGATCGAATTGCAGCGGTGTGTATGTGAGGCCACAAGGCCGCGCCGCAGTACGACCGACCCCAGCAACAGTCGTGTTCCCGATCAGAGAAGTATGTGGGATGTTGCCAGGCTCGATGTTGATGTTGGCGCGCAGCAGATCAGGGCATGCGTCCGACCAGATAGCCGTGTATGTACAGCCAGCTGAGTGGCAGATTGTGTATGACTGGCCGATCATACTGAGAAGCTGACATCCAGATGTGCGCATAGTGTTTTCCACGTTCACGTTCGATGAAGAGATGGGAACGTTGGCGGCAGTGAAGGCATCAAAAGCTGGATCTCCACGAGATCCGTTTCCGGGCCATTGCGTATGTACGTTCGCCTGTGGGTACTGGTCGAAGTTCTCCGGAGCTGTAAAGCCCTGCTCATTGATTGTGTCTGTAGATCCAAGGCGTAAAGGGTACTTGGAGAGGAGCTGCTGGCCACTTCGGCCGTTGGCAGCGATGTCAACAATGTAGACCTGGTAGCCTTGATCAAGGTAGTAGGAAGCCCATCCCTTGCGGTTGTCTGGCGTATTCAGCCATTCTGCGCCTGAGTTAACACCTGCGGAGACAAAGACCATCGGGTAAGGCTTGTTGACTTTGCTGGCGGGAGTCAGCTTTTCGACATAAAGCTGGTCACTCCACATCTGCTGGCCCGGAATGCCGGAGTCGACGTAGCCGCCACCGATGTAGAAGAAGTCTCGTTGGTATGCGGATTCCTGGCTGCTACATTCTGGGCGTATGCCATTGACACCAGTGCAGTCTGTTGGTGGGTCATCTTGGGCCGAAGTCTGGAAGGGCAATGCGCCCAGCAGCAGGCCCGAGAGGATGCTACGTGGATACATGGTCAAGTAGAAACAAAGATGAATAGAATGTGTGAACCAATAGAAGCAAAAAAGCAGTGAGCAGGGATGATTCTTGGAGCGTTTGCGCGGTCAGGTGGGCAGCCTGCACCTGCTTTCAATTTGAAGAAGGCTCTCATTCCGGCAGGCCGCGGCATTGACCCCAGTCGCGCAGATGAGTGCAGACGAGATGTAGAATCGGTCTAAATTCCGTTATACGACTTCTTCGAGATGCTTTCCGTTCGCTTTTGCAGGCTCGGGAGAAAAGCGGAAATTAGTCACCATAAATGGCCTAGCGGAGCGGCTGCATCCTGCCTTCCCAATCACCAGCAGCGGGGAATCGCGACATTCTCTTATCGCTAGCGGTCCGCACTCCTCTGCAGTGTCTGGACAGCCCTACGAGCTCATTGTGTCTCAAAGAGGAAAGCAGCTGCACCAGGACACGGCGGCGTTCTTCAGCAGCTCATCGCAATACGAAGAATGCACCACTTTGACACCATGACATCAATCACTCGGAGACGGGTACATAGAAGCTCATATATTGAGAAAGCTATCGTGCGCTAGCGATATACCCAGACCCGGGCTTTTTCTAAGACCTAACGTCCATCAAGTTTCAGCCTTTGGCGTATACTCCAGTGTACTCAACCTTCATTCGCAATCTATGCCTGACCCGATCTCTGGTGTTCCTACTTCACCCTGCAAACCCGTTCATCAAATATTATATCTTTCTGTACGCTGACCATCTCCAGAGAAGTCACTTCCTCATACTCTACGGCAAATCCCGCCTGCCTCCGATGGCATTGCCGACCACACCTGTCCGGACGACCTTTGTGAGGCCGTATTCGACGTGGACAGAGATACTCTTGCTCAGTTCGTGGAACAACGCACCACTCCTCAGTCTTACTTACGGGAAGGATCTCGGGATGCATCAAGCCGATGCTTGCAAAATCGCGGACTTTAGGATTTGTTGTTTGAACTTTGATGGCGGTGAGGTACTTCTAGCTGCATGTCAGTATCAAGCGTACACATAAATTGAATATCAGTACCTTTGCTTTAATCCACTCATACAGCTTCTTCATCTGAAAGTACAGCGCTTCAGCTTCCAAGCGATTGTACAAGTCATAGTCGAAGCCGTTCATCACGCTGTAAAACAGCGGGAATACCTCAGGACGACGCATATAGCGGAGGAGGTGCTCGAAAAGGTCAGGGTCGGCATCTAGAAAGTACGAGCCGTCTAATTCGGGCGTCCAAGAGTAGTAGACGGATAACTAGCGTTGGAAAAGGCCTGACTCTGCCTCCAGAGTGTTGCGCGCAACTTTGAACTCTCGGCCTCCTATGTTAAGGATAAGGTTCTTCGGATAACTTGTATTGGCACTCGGAGTCGCTATATCGGTGGAAGTCTGATCGTGATTCATTCTTGTGATCGTCTATTAGGGTAGGAGCTAGTGAAGCTGCCGTTATAAGCTGGCGGCTTAGATACGAAGGGTTTGCTTTCAAGGTCGATTAGTGTTTTACTGTTCATTGTCTACACTATGCTGACGAAATTTAGAGTCAGGAAGATTCGTTGTGACTAGAATACAAATGCCGAAACGAAGGCTGCTGCGGTACCTGTCAAGCCGAGAAGATGGCGTGACAGGTGAAGGCAAGATTTCCGGAGTCGCACGATCCAAGATCCTCATGATGAGTAGCTTATTCGCGCTTTACCACAGTCGCCTTCCATAATAGTCATAAGCTTCAGCAGGTGCCTTACACAAATCCAGATGCTGCTGCAGCCTTTGCTCGACTACCCGCCGCTCGTTCTTTTCCCGCGACAAGGCCTGCTGAAGCTCTTCATGAGCTCTCCTCCCATGCTTGAGACGATCTTCCAAAGTCTTCTTCTCGTTCTTTGTATGGTCGACCGATTTCCTTAGCTCCCGAGCAAGCTCGACCTGCCTAGCGTACTCCTCCTTCCACTTGCGGCTTTCCTCTTTGAGCATGTCGATCTTTTCAGCTTGTCTTTCGAGGGTGTCCTTTTCGGCTCGCACCTCCGACTTGCGAGTGAGCACTTCGATCTTCTGAGCTTGCTCTCTGATGGTACGCTTGAGTTGTATCATAGAGGCAGTGTCGTTTCGGAGGGACGTAAGTTCGTTGGTGAGTTGCGACATCTCTGCCGCTTCTTCTTGGTGACGTTGTTGCATTTTTGCTGTAGCCGTTGCAAAGCCTTCGATCTTACGCTTCTTGGGAGGAGCTAGTTATTGGTCAGTCAACTATCAAAAACGGAGGAACTGAGTGTGCAGGAGAGTTTTCTTCCGCTGTTAAATTTGTGTGGCCTCTAGCCTACAGGATGCTTACGCTGCTTATCAATGGGTGGTGTTCTCTCCAGGCCTGACCATAACTCTTGATTGGTCTTCCGGAGTGAGCGACATGGCCGATTCATTTTGGCGGATTGGTTAGTCTTGTCGCAACGTGGATGAAGAAGGTAGTCGCTGTAGTCTGGCTAATGGAAATTGGCCTGGAACGTGCGACACGCTAGATAGACGAGGTGAAGGTGAGTGTGCGCGACCCCCGATTAGATTGCCCACACGCCATTTGGATGTACAACAAACGAATGATGAAAGTCTTAAGCAGAACTAAACTTGACCCTGAACATACAGCTTTCGCCCCCGCTCGATGAGCTCTTCCAAACGAGCCTCACCAATCTCCCCGCCATCTTGGGCACCTTGTTCAGCGCCACTATACCTCCACCCATACTGCGTCTTGACCCACGCCACATCCCACGAACTCGGCCTGGACCACATAGGAATCATCTCATATCCGAGATCATGATTCGTACTGTCCCTGTAACGCGCTACTGGGCACTCCGCCTGGTTGCCATTCAGACAATTCTCATTACCCATGATGTAGCTGTGGTAGTGCATGATGCTATTCGCATCGTACGGTGAATCGGGGTTCAGTGTCCAGCCATCCTCGGATTTCCCGTACAGAACAGTATCGGTGTAGGAGCGGCCGCTGAAGTTGTATCTATCAGCAATTGTGACGTCGTTGCACAGCTCGTCGGTCGTCGTGCTTGGGTCGGATTCACGCGCGCGTGCGAGGGCGGTGCGGTAGTCGGTGAGCTTTGTGCAGTCGTAATGGATGTACCTATCACGGTCTGAGCGTTGCTGCTCGTGCATCATTCCTTTTGTTTGTCAATCTTGTAACATCCGAGATCGCGGGAAATGTCCAACGTACCCATGACATGTCCAAGTTCGTGTGCTACAGTTGTGACGCTGGCCTCTACGTCTATCCACATGTTCAGATCCCAAGGCTTTCCCGGCGTATCACCCATGCCCACAGTGGATGCGGCCGCGGCTTTGCCCACGCCATCGTCCTTCCAGATGGCGACTGTCTTGTATGGTACAGCCATATTCCATTTGCTCTCAGCTGGACTGTTGACATCTATGCAGTACCTTGGGTTCTGTGAGAAGTCAACATACTCCGAGAAGATGATCTTGTGGTTTGTACCCGGCGACGGTCCGCCGCCGAGAGCTGTCATCCAAACTCTGATAGCTGCTTCTAGTTTCTCAACATTTGCTTTGCGATGTTCTTCTGTCGGAAAGCAGTACGGTATCAACGTAATGCCCTTGATGTAGAGCTCCGTCCACTTCTTGGGGCCTCCACTGCCTTCGTGACCCCAGAGAGATGTAGCGCCAGATTGCATCCCATCATAGGTTGGAGTTTCGGTGTCGTTAGACGGAGGTAGGATAGCGCATGGACCTGAGAAGATAGGGGATATTGGGGGAATAGACGCCGCTATCGCCTGAATGGCAGCCGCCGCAAAGACCGGGAGGTATCTCATGATGATACTAGAAACAGTTGATAAGAGCAAAGGAATGTTGGGAATAGGGAGTGTAAGGGAGTATTTAAGATAAGTGCAGATGCCATAATGTACTCGTGATCACAAGGGGCAATCCGACTGCAACGCGCATCGGCCAATTACGCATTTGAGTCACAAGGCTCATTCTGGTGAAAGAGCATTGCTACTCGAAAACACTCGCCGGACGCTCAAGCCTCGAATGCACGGCCTTTGTGGCGCCCCGGATTTTTTCGGACTATTTGAGCAACTGCATCAAATAGCAGCACTGGCAACATCTCTGGCAGCCTTCTCTTCCTCTACCAGCTTCGCCCGTTGACGATCCAACATCCTTAGAACCTTGGGATCTTCGCCAGTCACCTTACCTCGCTCGATGTATGGATTTCGATCAAAGTCTTCATCTGAGGCTTCCTCATTCTCATCTTGTATGCCCGCATTCTCGACTGAGTCGATATGGGGTCCTTGGTATGGGTAATTGGTGCGGACCCAGCGGACGTCGCCTGGACTCGGCTTTTCAGCATCTTCGATGTACGCTATTCCTTGCGATTTATCTCCAGGCACCTTCCACCTCCTCAATGGGCATTCTTCCGGGTGGTCTCCCTCGGCGCACTTTTCGTTGGCATGCTGGAAGCTGCTATACGACATAATAGAGTCCACGTCGTACTCGGTATCAGCTTTCATCCACCAGTACTGGGCAGGGCTACCATAAGCCACGGACATGGTATAGTGGACAGCGGGGAACTGAAACTTCTTGGAGTAGTCTGCGAACAGACATAGCTGGTGGTCCTTGAATTGCGGGAGAGCCTTTCGGGCCCGAGCGAGCGCGTCCGAGTAGCCTTTCAACTTTTTGCAATCGAACTCAACGTGTTTGTCGCGGTCTGTGCGCTGGTGTTCGTGACCCATGCCTTGAACTGTCAGTAATGATCATGATATTTGTTTGTTTGAGACATACCGAGCACGTGACCAATCTCGTGCGCGACGACCAGGGCAGCCGTCTCTGGGCCGATTGACAAGCGGAGTTTCCAGGGTTTGCCTCTATCAGCCGCGCTGCCAGCCCCCATAGTCGCCCAAGCTCCGTTGGTCATCTTCTCTGACAGACTGATCACCAACGTTGTAGTCGGCAACGAAGGGTTCCACTGTTGTTTGTTTTCGGGGTTCGGATCATAGCACAAGTGATGCTTGGACGCCTTGTAGTCATACCATTCGTTGAATTGAAGATCATGCCCGTTGTCTCTACCACGCTCTCCGCCTAGAGCAGCTTTCCAGAGGGCTACAGCTGCTTCGACGCGCTCAAGTAGCCTGGCACGGTCCGTCTCAGAATAGAAGCAGTAAGCAACCAATGATCTACCTGGGGAAACGATGTCGGTCCATTTCTGTGGACCGCCCCAATTGATATAGTTGAACAGTGAAGCACCGCCATACTGGGTTAAATCCTGACCGTTTGTGGTATCTGCGGTATCCGTGATATCCGTAGCATGAGCGGCCAGTTGAGCTTCGACTTGCTCATCAGTAATGGGTGGAATGATGCAAGATTGATCTGGCAGGCTCGAAAACTGGTCCAGCTTGGGGACTACCGCAGCGAGCGCGCCGCAAACCAGGAAGGAGACCACGGGAATACTGCAGAGCATGGCTGTGATTGTCGGGGTGCTGCTTTCAGTGAGTCCGAGTTCCAGAAGTATCAGATAAGAGAAGAGGATACCAGAGATTCGCAGCTTATAATGATGGAAGGTATGACCGGCTAGCTCGGCTTGGCGCAACAACGGGGCTTGGGGTCGCCGTCGATGCAGCAACTGTGGAAGTGAATGCTAGCCCGTAGTCGCGATATTGGCATCACTGCTACACGACCGAATGCATCTTACCACTCGCAAGGTTCGTTGGCCTCCAGTTCCGACAGATGCGGAGCGTATGGCGGCGGACTTTCGGGGGTCCTAGTGAAGGTGAGACCGCTGCCTTGCGATCCCGAGCCAGATGTTATAATCTTGCCGCCTGAATAGATCTGCATTCACTGAGACGCAAAAAAGGAACAGCGCTAGCGATATTGTGGCCTGCCACTCAACAACAACAGCCCAAACCTTCCCCACAAATCAAAGCCGCAATCGTTGCGCCCACGACTCAGCCAAGATGGCGCACTCTCCTACCAATTCAGGACTCAAGAACATGCGCGACTTCTTCACGCGCAGCGAAAAGGAAAAGATCCCTCCTGAGCTCAAACACGCACTGTCGCTACTGCAATTACCCAACTTGGACAGTCTCGAAGAGCGCTTCCTCGCGACCGCTGCGTTCCTAGAGCCATGGGCTGTGTTCCGCGATTCGATATTCTTGCGTCAACCGGAGGCGGTACCACGTGCAACGGCGATAGCCAGAGAGGAGGGAGAGGACGGTGTGTCTCGCACAGACCTGTTGTGGTTTTATACACGATTCGACGAAGGTGTACACCGTTATGACCCACGCGCCGACAAGCACAGCGCGGAGTACACATCGGACTCCAGCGTGCATGGAGTAATCGACAAGAGTGATTGGACTGTGGAGGCGTACGAGAAACACCTCTTCGCCTGGTTGCTGCAGGTATTCAAGGTCGGCAAGTCGCGCAATCCGTGGAACATTGACTACTTCGAGCTCCGCAACATCTGCACAGCCTGGGAAATAGTCTTTGTGCCGATCGTCAATGCTGTTCGCGCTTCCTACAGTGTCAAAGGCCGACGACACTACGGTCGCCTCGCGCTTTACATCGAAGAGCGGTGCCCATCTGGTCTCGCTTTTCCCAAGGACAACGTCTTGGTACCTGGAGGAAGCCTGATGTCGCCCACGCCGTACCGCATAATCTCCTTGCCGAAGAAGGCCGTCAGTGATGAAGGCGCAACATTCCACAAACGTGTTGGTGGTGCTGGAGTGTTCACGCGAAAGCAGTACGACGAGGCCGAGAAGGAGCTTCGCGATGTGTACCCTCAGTATGGCGGTTTGGTTGAACGGCCCAAGTTCAAACATAAGATGGAGGAGTGGTTGAATGAACAGCGAGCCCGAGCAGAACGCAGGAAGGCCGCAGAGAAGACGGGCGAAGCGAGGGCCTTCCAGCCCCAGGTGATAAAGCGTGACGGTAGCCGAAGCTCAGGAAAGAGCAGCTCTCCCGATAAGGACCGCAGCAGACAAGACCAGGATGGCAGCGAGAGCCCAATCAGACGGTACTCAGATAGCATCCGCCGCTCGCTGTCTCGAGGCATATCCAGAATGGCGTCGAAGGAGGAGCCGAAGAGTCCGCTGCATGGTGTAACACGACAGATCCATCTACCTGATGAAACACCAGCTTATCGCCCTTCCGAGCCCTCGTCAACCGAGAGGCATGTGAGTGGCGCCTCAACAGATACCACTATCATCACACCATGGCCCCGTCCTGATACAGTGCGCAAGCCATCTGACCAGAGTGTCTACACGTCAACCCATAACTCAGACACTCTCATCCTTCCCGATAGCCATCAGCGCATGCAAATGTGCGACGACACGGACGAATCGATATATTCGCCCATGGGCCAGTTGAGTGCTATACCACAGCCACTGCACCACAAGTACCAGCCTGAGATGCGGGTCGCGCCAACGATCGAGAAGGGAAGAGCACACCCGGATGCACGGGTTCCAAGCTACGAGGGCAGTGGTTGGGACGACGAGATCTCGTTGACAAAGCTCAAAACTGTACGCGAGGACACTGCGAGAGATCTGCAACGCGTTCAGCCCTCAAAGCCAG